CTTCCTCTCAGCTCCTGCGAGGTTCCTGAGGATGAACTCAAGTTCTTGATTATCTGGCCTGAGAATACAGCGCAGCAAGAGGTGCACACCACCCTTGAAGGCCCAGCCCCGTCCTCTAGAGACACCACCCAGCTGGAGGGAACACTCACAAGCTACTCAGGTGGGTAGCCTGCTCCCCTGGGCCCTGGCCGTGTCCTCAGGCAAATCACTTAACCTTTCTTGGCCTCATTTTCCTTGCCTGCAAATCACTGGTGGCAAGAAGTTGCATAGAAAACATATTCAATAAACTTGTTACTAGTATCCTATCGCCCAGGCCAACCCTGGCCCAGGCCAGAGCCTTTCTCAGATCCTTCCTTGTGAATTCTTAAAATACACAGATGTAAGTCCTCTAATTAGGAAAGAAATAGAGGTTTGCCATGAAAAGCTTGAGGAGAGACGGCAATGGAGGTGATGCTGAGTTTGGACGGCTTGGTAGGGACTCTGCATACATCAATTCTCCCAACAGCCCTAGTGGGGAGCCACAATTATCTCCACTTTAGGGGCAGACACCAAGGCACAGAGAGGTTAAGTAACGTGCTTGAGGTCCCAAAGCTGGTAGACAGCAGAGCCAAGGCTCATTCCACTGGCGTGGCTTCAGAGACCTTGTTTCTCTTTACTGTATCTGTTCCCGAAGAGGGAAAGAGTTCCAGCACGCGGTGGCTGCTGACTGCTTTATGGCCACTCTTACCGTACACACACAACAACCATGTGTGCGCAGACACACCTACTACTTTGCCTAAGTATACAGCGACGTGACACCCACAGAGCTCCAAAGAGGGCAGGGCGCCCAGTCTGAAGGGCCGTTCACACTTGGCTCTGCAGCTTGGCCAGGGCGTGTGAACAGCCACTGACTCCCCAGGTGACTGGGAATGAACTATTGTGTCAGGGCGTGGCCAGGGCAAGTAGTGCCACCTCAACGCTTGTACACGCCTTCTAAGGGGACGTGTCTCAGCTTTCCGTGGGCATGTCCCCATCAGGGCACTGTCCCTGTGCTCCTGCTGGGAGGGGGGTGAGTGCTCCATCTCGTTGTCAGAGCCAAGTCTCCCTGGGGGAAGGCTGTGTCAAGTTCACTGCTACACAGGCTGTGTCACATCCCCCAACGTCGAGTATTCCCACCTTCTTTCAAAAGCCATCTGAGGAGGTACCGGTGGCATTCAATTGCTTTCTTTCCAAACACTTTGTGACGAAGATCTTCAAATACACAGACAAGTTGGAGACCCTGTACCATCAACACCCACATGCACTGGCGGCTACGCGGACATTCTGCTTCAGCTCTCCGGTGGCACAGCTGTCCACCCCCATGCAGCGGCCAGTCCATCTCGTTTTGAAAACGCACTTGAAAGCACACCGCAGGCACCAGCACGCTTCTCACCACATGCTCTAGCACACACACTGGCATCAATGATTCCATGATGCTAGTGCTTTTTTCTTTTCTGAAGGTGAGACACGCACAGACCTTAAACGGACCATGCCAACTGTCTGCCAGCTCCACTGCCAGCCCAGGTCCCTCCCTAAATGAGATCACAACTGCCCCCAGTTCCCCGCACTCCTACCCACAGCCCTGTCCACCCCTACCCCAGGGACCATCACTAAGCCATTCTGACAATTTTCACCACAATTTAAGCATTTTTTTCAGGACAGTTTTATTGAACTCTAACTCCCATGCCACAGAAACACCCACTTAAGGAGCGCACACAAGTCAGTGGTTTTTCACATATTCAGAGCTGGACAACCCTCGCCACCCATTTCAGAGCACCCCCACCCTGGAGGCCCACACGCAGGTGCAGCTGCACCACCAGGCCCTCGCCTCTGCCTCCCCCACACAGCACTGTGCCCAGCACGTCACCCCAGCCAGCTCGTGCCCTGCACGTCTCCAAAATCCATCCATGCAGTTGTGTGAGCAGCAGCCGCTTCCTCTAGTGCCAAGAAGCATGCCATTGCAAGACCGATCCACCGCAGGCTCATTTCCCAGTCAACAGGCATTTGGCCTATTTCCAGTTCAGGGTGACTACAGACATACGTATCCAACAGCCACACTGAGGACGTTTTACTTTTTCTTAGGATTTGTACATTTCAACGCACACTGTGTGGCCAATGGCCACACTGTGGCCCTGGGTGGAAGCCCCTAAACCACCAAGAAAAGTGAGCTACAGACTCCATGGGAAAACCAGGAGCTTCTGACAACTGCCAACGCTGTCAGATGGGCCTGCTTGTGTCCACAACACTGACAAAGAGTGGGAAATGACAGGGCTGAGTGTGAACCCTCCTGGCTTCCAGGCAGGTACAGAGAATCTGAACAAATGCTTTTCTGGACAGAGCGGCAAGCCCTCTGCATGGTTGGGAAGGGAAGCATAAGAGACACACTCTGGCTCCAACAGCACAGCAGAGCAGCTTTGGGAAGTGCAATGTCAGCCAGACTCCCCGACCCCCCTCCTGCTGGAGTGAAGACTGGTAGTGCTTCCCTGACAAGCAGGCTCTCCCCATCACACACACCCCGCCCTGGGCAGGTGAGGCCCAGCTGCACTGCCCAGGCTGGACCCCTAAGCAGGCCACACTCTTTCCTGACTCCAGGCTCTTGACATAGGTCCCTGCTCCTGAACAATGCCCCCCACATTTGCTCCCACCCTGCAGGCCTTAACTGTCACTTCCTCTAAGCAGCCTCCCCAAACACCCCAAACTGCCTTAGACTCAACGTCTTCTACACATTTCTTTTGGGGACAAAGTTTGGCCCTTTCTGCTGGTTGCACACCCAGAGTGTCCCGCCCTGTGGCCCACCCACTGCTCCACTGTCCTGGCCTGGGAAGCCCGTTGCATGCTCTGTCTGAGCGAGTTAGTAAGGGTGATGAGAATGACACCACACCTTCCATGTCTACCAGGGAGCCCCTGGAGCATGGTACTTAGTAGGTGCTCAGTGAGCAGAAAGCTGGAAGTCACCTGAGGCTGAGAGCAGAGAAAGGATCAGAGCAGAGCAAGAGTTGAGGTGCAAGCGCCAGGGCAAACTGGCCAAGCTGGGTGGCTCTGTGGAGGGGCCATAGGAACAGCCACTGGCCAAGGGGCTTTCAAGGGGACATCAACAATGAGGACAAGTTAGAAATGGGCTCCCAGGCAGGAAGAGGATGGCGCCCCAAACTGACCCAGAAGCTGCTGGGCGAGCGGGTTGGGGCTGCAGAGGGGACCTGGGCAGTCCCTTCCCGAGAACAGTTCTGTGCTCATAACTTGGGCAAACTCAAGGACGTACATGGAGGGGGTGGGGACCTTCACCTGCTGTGGGCATCATCTCTGCATCTGTTCCCTGAGCTGCCTGTGCCCAAGGGCAAGTGTCAATGTGCCGACCCCAGGCCCACCAGGCCCACAGATTTCCACGACATCAGTGTCTTTTTACCCTGTCTAGGCCCCAGATTGTCCAATACATCCTTTTCATACAGCCTGGACCCCCACAAAGCCACCTATCTATCTACACTGGGGGTTATCTGAAGTTTTCTAAGGGAAATTTTGACATGACAGGATTTCTATTTTACTTGCTGTCTTCCGAACACACCCCTAGAAACGCACTGAGGGATGTTCATTGTAAGAAGAGAGGGAATGGTACCCCATTTCATACAAAGAGAACCTAAGGTACAGACAGATTGGGCAACTTGCCTGACATCACACAGCCAACACATGGAGGATGTGGTGCCTGAGCCCAGGGCTGGAATCCCACACCCTGCCCTTGTTCTCAGGACCTCCTGGACACTGACCTGATACTGAGGCTGCAGACTTCTCTCCAGGACTGACGTGGCAGGTCCTATAGGGAGAGCGGGCTCCTGTGCTGCCATCAATGGCCTCTTTCTCCCTCGAACTGATGTTTTCCTTCATCTTAAATGGCTCTCTTGCTTAAAGAACACCGACTACTTTATAAGCCTCAGTTTGCCCTGGATGGTCAGAGGGGCCACAGCAGCAGAGAAGGACACAGATAGTGTGCCCTGGTTTCGGATACTGCCTCCCTCCTGTGTGCAGCTTCGTGTTCAAACGGCTCTATGAGGAACCACAACTACAGCAATGGTTGTGACGCCACCTGGCAAGACAGGCACTCTATGGATGCCTCTACCACTGGTTTAGATCCTAAACTGCCAGGATCACATGGTCACTCCTCTGCTCAAAACCCATCAGCGACTCCCTACTCCTGGACACTAGGGTCCAACCCCTCCGTGATTTGTGATTTGAGATGTTCTGCCATTCCAGGTCCACTGTGTGTGCCCACACCCAAGGACATGCCCACCTTGGAGCCCTGGCCAAGGGAGCAGTCCCTGCCCACCAACTGTCACCCACTGGCTAAGTTCTGCTCCTCCTTCCACAGCTCATCAGCCCACTGTCTGCAAACCAGAGCAGAAGCCTCTTGCTCCCATTTCTGGAGGGGCCACAGCTCCAGGGTTAGGCACACCCAGACCCATACCCCACGCCGCCCCAAACCCTGTACATGTGTGCCCCTCCCACAGTGGCATGAAGTCTGTGAGTCACATCCCATGCAGGGCAGACACTTGATAAGCTGCTACTGCCACCGTCACCATTGATACTGCCACCAAAACCCTGCAGGGGAGACTGGAAAGAAAAATGTCACACACAGGCTTAGTGGCGCCAGAGGAACAAGCCAGTCACCAGCCAAAGCCCCCGTGGAAGAGGTATTCCAACCACCGACTGCACTGAATACTGCGACAGGTGATGCTGTTCAGGACACATCCAACGTAGAAATGTGGAAACTGAGGCTCAAAGAGCTGAGTGATTTGCCAAAAGTCACACAGTAAGCAAGACCCAGATCATTGAGGTAGATAGGGGACAAAATGCCAATCCTCTGCCTTGACCCCCTGCCATCTCAAGCCCCTGTTCAGTGATCTGCATTGGCCTCCGCCGAGTGCTGAGGACTCAGGCCACGTGTGCTGGCCCCAACCCCACCACCTGGTGCCTGCTCAACAGCGCCGGGTTACCTGGGAGTGGCTGGAACACACCATGGTTCTCCACCTCAACTGCCAAGTCAAAGTGGGAGCAGTCGCTCAGGGTGACCACCTCGCTGGCTCCACCAGGCATGAGGCCGTTGATCCTCAGTGGCAGCTCCAGGATCTGGCCCACCCGAGCCTCCACCTGGCAGGGGGCAAACTCCATGCTGCTGGGCTCGATCACGTACACCTGGAGGGCAGGGGCACAGGCTGGGGTCATTGGCCTCCAAGGGAGAGGACCGGCCTGCTGCTCAGATAGATGAAGAACTGCTTTGTGCTGGACACCGAGAACACATCAATGAGGAGAGGGAGCTGGGGTACATGATGGAGTGTGCTGGCACTGGGGCGATGTTCAGGGACAGACTACCAGGGAAGGCGTCTCTGCGCTGACACAGGAGCTCAGACCTAAGCGTCATGTCAGAGGCAGTAGACCAAGGAGAAACACACTGGGAAGAAAAGGTGACCCATGCAAAGGAGCTGAAGCATGTGCCACCAGCTCAGCCTGTGGGAGGCCAGTGTGTCTGCAGTGTCCTGAGTGGGGGTAGAATGGAAAGAGCTAGAGTGTAAGAGGCAGTAGGCCAGGTCACGTGGGCCATGGCCAGGATGGTTTTCACTACAGTCGAGTGGGGAAGTCTTTGCGGGTTCCCGTCAATCTGGCCTCCATGGGAAAGTCACAGTCAGGTAGCAAGTGAAGAGGCTGCTGGGAAATCCCACCCAGCGAGAGAACACATGATGGCATCCTGAACTGGGGTTGGTGAGAATGAACAGCTCACCGGACAAACGACCAGGTGGCTGTATCGGGCGAGAAGGGGCACCACCCATGACACCAAGAATGACACAAAACAAAACCGACCTGACTCCAGCTCTGCTCTAAGGCACTGCTAGCTCATCTAAGCCTCTCGCCTCTGGGCACCCAGGCTCTGCTACAGCCTCGCTGACCCATGAAGAAGCTGGCATGGAGGCTGCGGAGGCGGGGTCAGCTGGCCACACTCACTGCCTCTCCAGGAGTGTCCTCAAGCCTTCAGGTTGAGTAAACGGGTGAAAGGTGGTACATTTACTGAGACAAGGAAGCTTGTGGGGGTGGGGAAAGGCAGGACAGTCAGTTAATCCAAATAAGTGACAACCATATTGTAGCGAAAGGGTCTCCATTACACCCCTCTTTATGAGAGGTAGATCTCGTGTGTGTGGCCAGCAATAACGAGAGCAAATGTTCAGCCGCGCCCCAAACAACACAAGGTCGGGATCAAACGCATTGCGTACCTAAGTTCTGCCCTAAATGAGGCAATAAAAGGGGACAAGGTGGGGGTCAGGCATCAGGAGACCGTCAGGAGGGGCAGGTACGGGCTGGGCTACAGCTTTTGCGAACTGAATTGGTCTTGGTCCCAGGTCACTCAGGAGCAAAAGCCAGGATCCAATGCAGGTAGTTCCTGACTTCGTACCTCAACAGGGAAGAGGGGAAAGGCACCTGGGCCAGGAGTCTGAGAGTTTCCCTTTCACTGTGAATTCATAAGCCCACACCCAGAGGCCCTGCCAGGTGGAAATCCCTATTTCCAGGTCAAGAGAGTTGTCTATACCGACTCTCTTGTTACTGTCTGGCTCCCCTTCCAAAAACTCCATCTGTCTTGGCCTTGGCCCTTCTGGTCCCATCCCCTGCCAAGGGTCAGATGCCAGCCCTCTCCCTAACCTCGCTGGCCATGAGCTGCTCAAAGCAGGGCTGGGGCCTGACAAGCCAAGCACTCACCTGCTACCAATACCAAGTACAAGATCAAGGGCTGAAACTAAGCCAGAGGGCTGGTTAAGAGGGGATGGCTAGAGACCACCATCCAGAGCACCCCGCTCCTCTGGAGTTGTCCTGGCCCCTGGGGTCTCACCTTCATCTCGCCAAAATGTAGTGGGTTCTGCACATCATGTGCCTGGATCACACTGAGGCCAGTGTCGCTGCCTGTGGTCATCACACCTTTGACGGTGACCGTAGCAACCACGTAGTTTGATGAAGACCAGCTGAAGTTCCCACTCCCACCATGGGCCTGGGGAGGAAAATACCCATCAGATGAGCCCACCTGCCCACTCTCTCACACATTCAAACCCACTCACCTCCCCCCCAACACATATTCTTTCTCTCTCTCTCTCTCTCACACACACACACACACACACACACACACACACACACACACGATCTACATTCCACAGCACCTGGAAAAACATGGCACTGGTCAACATCTTGCTGGAGGCTCCCCCTCCACCCCATCTCCTTTCTGAGCCTTATATTCTGGAGACCTCGTGACCGACATATGTACGCATGTGCCTGTGACAGTGGCCCAGAACCCAGGGGGCACCCCTGGCCTCAGCAAGGAGAGGGAAGGCCCTGCCGTGGAGCCAGGTGCAGGACGCTGCTCCCCTGACCAACACTGCCTCCCTGCTGGCTCACCCCCGTGGCTCCCAGGCACCTGCCACGGTGGCCACAGCAGGGGCCTCCACCCCAGAGCCCTCGAGGGGCCAGGAAGGCCACACACCTGAGTGGGCACCATGACAAATCACAAAGGAAGCCTGAGCCAACACCGAGTTGAGAAGTCCGCAGAAGGAGCCCTCAGCTCCCCTCTCCCCAAAGCGACAATGGACAGGACGGTGGCAGTTAATGGCAGTTATAGCCCCCAGCAGGAAGGAAAGTTTCCCACCAGTCCAGCAATGAGTCCAACCAATGGACATGCAGTGCCTCAGCCAATGAGACGTGGCCCCCAACTGGCCCTCCAACGAGTTTCCCTCTATCTCTTGACAACATCCTCAGGCCTCCCTCCTTCCTATAAAAGCCTCCCATCTCGATTAACCACCCCTCGGGATAGCTCTCTGCTTGAATTGTTTAATAAAACTAATTATTAGATCTTCAAATTAACTCAAGTTAAATATTTTTTTTAATCCACAAGCAGCAGGTGCCAGGGTACAGACAAAACACCTGTCACAACCGCCACGGAACAGGCGGGGACTGGTGGGGACTGTGAAGGCCGCGAGGGAGCAGGCCATGGAGAGCATCAATTGCTCCGACCCAGGCCAGAGGACACGTACATGTCAGAGACCGAGAAGACTGGCCCGCTCACAGGTGGGAGGCCTTGTCCCTTGAATTTCACATTTACCTGCTTGGGGAAAACAATCATTTTATATAAAAGCAAATGTGAGGTTTGATCTATCTTTCTAAGTTTTCTGTTTTCACATTTTCCCCCCTCGATTACCAAAATGCACTGCTGTGATGGAAACCTCGGAAAATACAGTAGATTCTTTGACTTAAAATTGGCTCTGACCACAAGAGGGCAATATGGAAAGGCAAAGACTGGAGGGAAAGCCCCAAGCCCAGGGAGACACCCAGAGGCAGGCCCGCAGGCACCGCCAGAGGATTACCTTGATGGTGTACTGATAGGCCCCGGTCTTTGGCTGCCAGGGAAACGTCAAGATGCCGGGATACAGGGTGATGGGGACATGAATTTCCACCTCCTGCTGGTTCCACACAGGCACCCGTAACGTATGGACTCCTCCATCCTACAATTGGCGAGAGCACCACATGTCACCATGACAACCAGGCTGTCCATTCCCAGTCAACCTCCCTGGGGACTGGATCCCAAAAGACTTTGTGGGGGACAGAAGGAAGAAGCCACCTGTCCTGCAGCCTGCTCTCTCAACAGAGACAGCTCTCCATGGTTCAGTAAGAGCCACTCAAGTAGATGCTGGACTTTACCCCCACAGCGGCCCAACCACCATGGACACAGTGATCCTCACTTTACAAATGGGGACACCAAGGCAAGGGACACTAAAGCACCTCACCCAGAGCCCCGGCTGCAGTGGCAGACGGCTGGAGAAATGGCTGCTGGACGCTTCCGGCTGTGGCCCATGCCTCTTGTGGGTCCGTGATGCCTTGTGCAGGCAGGAAGATGAGGACCCACCAACCTTCCTGTCAGTGAAAGGTCACTCCCACCTGAACTGACTGGCCTCCTAAACACAGGGGTGGGTGAGGGGTGGTAAAAAGATTTAGGAAGACCAGCAGCCTCACAGCTCGAGTGCTCAAGGCTCCCAGTGGGAGCACAGCTGGACAAACAGGGTCAACACTGTCCCAAGGGTTTCTAGCCCCAGAAGGCACAGACCCATTTTCATAGGCATCCGTAAAGGCAGAGAAAGATGGGGCCCAGTGTGGAAACAGGGGGCAGGGAGACCCCAAAGGCCCAGTGCCCAGGGACCCTGTTGAAAGGGTACATTTCTATTGTGCATTTTCTCTCTTCTCCTCCCCCTACCCCCACTTGTCTTCTTCAGGGTCCCAGCAGCCCAGAAATCAAGGACTAGCTGTCACAGCTTAATGCCAAGTGCCTCGCGGGAGGTACTGGCAGGAAGAACTAGCTGGTGTGGGCCCTGGTCACAGCACACTCTGCAAGAACCAGGTGCTGGCAAAGACCTTGACAAGGTGCACCCTGCTAAGAGGAAAGCAGCCCACCTCCCTGGTGACCACCTCGCCGGGCCTGAGAGGGGCACTGCAGTCGCCACTTCTCAGCTCACCCGCACCTGATCAAGCCGCTTTCTTTATACCAAACCTCGAATCACTGTCGGGCGATGAGTGGTAAGACCCTGGCCTTTGATAACACGGTGAGTCCAGAGAGGGGACCCACGGCTCCTATGAGAGCAGCACAGGTTGAGTCTGGGGACCCGAGTCCTGGAGTCTCGGCTCGCTGGGGTTGTTAGCTCTGCCTGAGGAGGGCCCAAGGGTGCATGCAGGGGTGGGGGGACACCCACTTGCCTGGTCCACCACAGAGGTGAGGGCTGCCTCAATGGCTGTCTGGCCCCTCTTTATGGTCCTCACATGATGGTAAGAGCCATTCTGAGAAGAAGAGAGCACCTCAAAGAATTCAGGAGGAAGCATGGTCTCGATGCGGATGTTCTGGAAGGTAAGGAGGGTGGGTAAGGAGGGCGCTTCTGGAGAAACTCAGGAAACACAGGGAAGAAGCCACATGACCCAAAGCAGCCCAGGCCCAGACTCTGTAGAGTTATGGGTATTCCTTGCCCTGCAGAGAGAAGGCTCCAACAGAGCAGGCAAAGATGGCCTCTCAAAGTTCTCAGCCAATGAGAAGGGAGCAGGAGGCAATAGGCAGTCACCTCTCCCCATTCCCTCCCCTCCTGCCTCCTCTCTTCACCTCAGCCTTAGGGAGGACGCACACTTAGAGGCTTGCAGGGTCTTGACAACCCTGCAGTGTCTCTCGTGGACTTGGCACCACCAGGAAGCACCCCAAATCAGCCTGCCTGCGTGGGGGCCCCTGCAGCTTTGGGGCTACAATCAGGCAGCTGCTCCAGGACACCCATCCCACCTCATCCCCCAACAGGTCCCAAGTTGGGCACTCACGTCTGACAGGTAGACCTTGTTGCCAGACTTGTCAAGCACTTCAACGGTAATTTCGTATAGGCGGCCGGTCTCCAGCACCCACCTGTCACCGGGGTGGACTGTAAACCCTGCAACACGATGGGCAGCAGAGGTGACCACTCCAGCCACAGGGCACGCCGTGGAGGGAGAGGGGGAGATGGCCCTGTCGCCTGTTCCCACATTCCACACCAGACCGGCTGCTCCTGACCCCGTGACAGCGTGCGCCTTCTCATCGCAGGACCACTGTCCCCACTGTCCCCTCTACCCACAAATGAGCAGCTGCTGAGAAAACCCACCCCAAATCTTCCAGATGCCTCTCTCCCATACTCAATTATTCAATACACTGCTGTCCTGTCACTGCCTGCCTGCCGGTCTCCCCCGCACAACCAGCTACAGGGCCCCCCAACTTCCTCTCCCTTGAAGTTCTGTGTCCAATATAGGCCAGACAGACGAAAGGTACGAAACAAACGTTTCTGAGTAAATGAAGCTCCTAAGACACACAGAGCCACCGGGCCTGGCGTCACTACCTTGTCAATGTGGGTCTGTGCCCGATGGCAAAATCATCTGCAGCTCACAAGGGGACCCTGGGGCTTCCTGCACTTCAAACACTCTCATGCCTGAATGTTCCCAACAGGTGAGTCAACTCAGAACAGTTTCCTCAGTGACGCAGGGGACACAGGTGTCCTGGACATTCAAGCCTTAGCCGTTCCCCCCCAAAGTCTCCGTGGTGGCCGATTCCCCTCCCCTTTTCTTGCCAAACGTCTATCCTCCTCTCCCCCTACCCAAGACATCTGCCAACTGTCAAGTCACCTTAGGGGCCTCTCTGGAAACCAAGCTTACCCTCCAAACACCCAAAACTAAGTCATGTCTAGCCAGAGTCTTGGTATAAAAAGGAGGCAGAGGGTCTCCCCGGTGGTACAGCGGGTTGAGCACAGCGCTGTGAAGCTGACTGCAGCCTCTGCAGCGTGGGTTCAATTCCCGGCCAGTGAGATTCCCACATGGCGCGGCAGACCTCTCCCGTCTTGCCCGCTGCTCCCCTCAGCAGTGTACTTCGGTCCTTCTGCCTGTTCTGCTCCCTGCTCTGTCTCTGGTGAATTCTCTCACCCTCCTGCACCTCTGACCTGTACCCCAGCCAGTGCTTGTACAAATAAATAAATATTAAAAAAAAAAAAGAGGCAGAAACCCCCCCCCCCAACTTGGCCTAATCCCATCTAGGTCTAGGGAGAGGCCTGGGGGTCTGGCAGGTGCTGGTGGCCCTGGGCCTCGCGACTGATGGGACTCTCCAGAGTGGAGCATTTTCTGGGAAGCAGCTGCTTTTACTTTTTTCCTTTAACACCTGTCATCACAATTGAGCAGCATCTAGCAGGGCCCAGGTGCCCATGCTTACCTAGGTACCCGGGTTCAACCACGTAGATGGTGCTGTTAGGCAGCCTGGACGCACCCTGCATGCGGATACCTGTGTTCTTGATTAAGGCACAAACACAAGACAGCCAACCAGTCAGCCAGTGGGTTCCAGCTTGGCCAGGAGGCCCGATGACCACTGTCACTTGGTGGAAGAGGGGACGAAAACTCGCTGTGAGGCTGAGCGGGTCAGCTGCTTGGCAGAATCAGAGCCCACACCATACTTCCCACACTAGCAGAGAGGGGAGGTGGGGGGTCTCAGCAAGGGGCACTGTAGACCACACAGGGCACAGCAACAAGTATGGTACCACCCACATGCCAGTGAGCAAAGTCCTGGCCAAGCCCCAGGGACAAGAAGGTCCTGGAGGCAAAGAGCCGGCTCCGAGCCCACCCCCTCCACCGGGGCACCTCTCCAGTGAGTCACAGCAGAGGTGAGCCATTCTACTCAGCCACGCTGCTATTTTGGTTCTTTTATGATTTTCAGACCTTGAGGAAAAACAGGGCTATTTTTAGCTCAGCCAAGATTTCAGTGAGAAAAATGACTTTCCACAGCAGCTCTCCCACACGCAGCAGACACGCTGGCCCTAGGAAAGGATACTCCTGTGGCCCAGGACGAGGCTGGTCTGTCCCAGCTGCACTGCAGTGACAGTGGAGGTATCCTCGGCCAAGACAGCCACAGGCCGGCCCGTGTCGCCCTTGGGGCCCCGGATGTCGTTCTGCAGCTGCAGCTCATACTGATCCGAAGGCATTGAGAGTTCTGGCCAGCCCGAAACAAAAAAAAAAAAAAAAAAAAAAGAAGGGAGTGAGAGAAGGGGAACCACAAGCCAATGACTCCCCTGATTCTGGACCCTGCCGTCAGCACTGCAGCGTGATTATTTTTTTCTTAATTTGTCCCAGAGAATTTAAATTGCATTCTTCTCCATGCCTGTGGATAAAGTGGATACTCACCGTGGATCTTCAGAGGCAATCACTTTTCTGTGACTGCTGTAAGCTACTGTTTTTTGTGTTTTTTTTTTTGTGGGACCCTCGCTGAGTGGTTGGGGATCGAGCTGGCTCTGCAGAGGCTGTGGGCAGCCTCGCAACCCAACGCTCAACCGCTGCACCACCAGGGGAGGCCCTGTAAGCTACTGTTTTAAAACGCCTGAGATACTAATGCCAGAGCCCTCTCTGTGCTTTATCACAGAAGCACGTGAGCTTGTTAGACAGCAGCTGAAAGATCAGTGCATGTTGTTTTACCACAGTAAACCACGGGGGCACCTGCCGTGACCGCCAAGCCGAGCCAGAGGCCCACCTGTGATCTTTCCTTGCCTGATCTTCTGCACCTTGTAGTGAATGGAGGTCCCCACCATGAGGTAGACATCGTAAGCTGGGTTCAGAAGGATGTTCTCCAAAATCAGCAGCCTGACCTCCGCAGGGTGCACGTTCTGGACACAAAAAAAAGGGTAGAAAGGTCAGGTTGAGAGGAGCTGGGGTGAGAGAAAGAGAATCTTCAGAACTTTTGGCATGGTTGTGTAGGAGCAGGAAAGGGAGGAATGAGAAACCAAGATGACACTCAGGGCCACAAGTCCAAACCTACACCCCAAAGGAGCTCCGCATGCGTAGAAGGTGAGCATTCGGACCTCACGGCCAAAACACACCAAACACGTCACATTACATAACGTGATTACAGCCCAACATGCAATAGTAACAACCAACCAGAAAGAGAAACGAGTGCTAGGAGTGCAGCCCATGGAGAGTGTGGCCCCCAGGGGCCCAGGACATCTCCCCACGAAAGGCCCAAAGGCCAAGGCGGTTGGGAAGCAGAGCGAGACAACCCTGACGATGAAGAGAGGGTGTGAGTCTTCTGACAGCACAGCCCTGCTCTCCCTCCCCTGCCCGCCTGGCACCCCACCAGGACCCCCTTATTAGGAAACACCCTACAGACCTCAAGGGAGAAAGGTCGACTGTCTTGAGCCCAGCACCCCCTTGGGTGACCAGCTCCTACATGGGCCTGCACCGTGACTAAAAGTTGGAGAAAACTGATGGCAAAGAGGTCCACAGGAATGCAAACCCTTTTCTCTAGGGCAGGCTCAGTCCCTCTCGACCATCACCCCAGTGATGCTGACTCACTGCTCTGGACTCAACCGTTCCCTGGTCTGCAATGTGGATTCTCCTTTGAACGGGAGGCCACAGGTTTCCTCGCGGCACCGTAAATTACATAATGCCCAGCACGGCAGGCAGGGGAGCCTCTGTTCCGTGCTGGCCACCACTCTCTAAGTGTGACTCACAGTGTCCAGGCCAACACACCCAGCTCTGGACTCACACCCCAGCTTCCCACTTCATGAACCCTCACCACAGGTCTCACTTCCACTGGGAAACGTGCTGGGGCTGAGCAGGACAGCCACCTAGTCCCACCCAGGCAGCCCAGCCCTCTGGCGCCGCCCACCTTGTAGACGGCCTCCTGGATGCGCGCCTTGAGCCTGGAGCTCCCGGTCTTCATCCCCGACACCAGGATGGTGTCTCCCTGCTTGGCCGCCTTCTCCATCTCCGAGATGTAGGAGGGAGGTATGTATGTAGACTCCAAGAAAGTGAGGATTCTGGAAAAGGAACATGTTGTCAGACCTGATGTTTGGAACTGAAGCACCTAACACCACCCATGGGCGCCTCTCAGTAGGTGCCAGGTGCCGAACCAGGTCATGTCTCCCTCAGTGGCAGTGCTTAGAAACGTGCCCCCAAAACTTCCTTTATCAGGAAAAATGTGAAAAATCCAGATTCTTGGCCCCTGGTTCAGACCTCTGCACAAGACCTGGGACCCTGCATTTTGTCTAAATTCACATGTGATTATGACAAACACTGAAACTTGAGGACCCCCGACCTGCTCAGTGGCAATGCTGCATTCTCACAGACGTGAAAGGTGAGGGCCACTAAGAAGCAGGCCCCCAAGATGCCAGACTGCTCCAGGGCGGGGTCAGCAATGCCCACCGGGTCCCCCAGGAGCACCTGCTGCCTTCCAGCCCGCCCCCGCCCCCAGCTCCTGCCTCTGGGAAATGACATGACCCCCCAAGCATCAGGAGTGGGGGTGCAGGTTGTGGGGAGGAGTGTGAGGAGTGGGGTGGGGGAGAGAAGTCAGGAGGCAATGAACCTCCCCCCAAAAACGTGGCTGGCGAGCAGGGCCAAGGCCAGGGACCCTTACAGTCTCTTACCTGCAGACTGTGACTTACAATCTGACCACCGCCGTTCTGTCTGAGCAAAGGCAATCTGTGGGACACGCTTTCAGTCTCCCCCAGACCTGCCCAGCACTGCACCACACCGAGATTTATTTCCTTGCCTGACTTTACTAGGTGTGACATGCTGAATTTAATGGAAATGCAGGACACTGGTTCCAACACGCCCTCACGCCTTGCATTTCAGTTGACACTCAGTTCACGTACCAAGTGTGGGGAAACACAATGGGCTCTCAAGGTGGGAAACGGGTTCGGTGGTGCAGAAGGGGGCAGGGAGCCAGCATCCCCTAAGCATTTAGCATCTCGTGTCCTGGCCAAGTGCATCTGTCAGTCAGTGTGCTGACCCCCCAGAGGGCAGCAAAGGAAGCTGGTGCTCAGATGGGCAACATGTCTTAAAGAGGCCACATGTGCCACGGGGCCGGGATGGAGTCTGGCCAGGTGGGCAGCACAGCTTGCACAGGGTCAGGGCTCGTGCACATCTATGTGGAGGTGGCTGTGAGCCAGGCCTGGATGCCTACCTCCTGGAGCCCCAGGCTAGATGTCCAGAGGTACAAATACAGCAGATCGCCAACGCCCCACAAAATACAGATTAACTGCAAAGGGGAAAGAACATCAGGGGGGCACCTGGCAGATACCGCCTCCCCCAGGAGGTGACAGTGAACATCAGAGGAGCAGCAGCCGCATGTGGTGAGATGCCATGAGGAGAACAGTCTCTCGCTTTGGTGACCCTCCCTCCAGAGGCGCGGGGCTCTGCGTCCAATCAGGAGAAAATACCACAGAAACGGAAAGAAGGGACATTCTACAAAATAACCGGACAAATGCCAAGGTCCCAAAAGTCAGAGGCCAAGATACTGTCCCAGGCTGACAGAGACTGAAGACACTCAGCAGGTAAGCTGGGCTGGGTCTTTTGTTACAAGGAATGTAACTGGGATTCTGGCAAAACCCGGATGAGGCCTAAGGATTGGGCGTCTGTGCTAATCTCCCAGTTTTGGCGGCTGTGCTTCGGGCACGCAGGGAAAGACAGACCCTCAGCAGCGGGCAATGCACACTAGAGAAGTGGGAACATCAGGCGGGCGGCCAGCTCTGAATGGTTCGGTGCACTTGCAACTTTTCCGCTGGCTTGTCTGCTGGGATAGGGCTTCCTCTCCCAAAAGGAAATATACTCTTTAAAAATGAACTTAACAAAGCACGAGACAACGGCCCTAATTCTTTAGGGCCACCTCTTACCGCAGTGCATTGTGGGAATCTGAGAACCCGCTGGCCTCCGTGTCCTTCACAATCGTCCAGTCAAAGACCAGCCCCGCCAGGGTGCTGAACGTGTTCCCTGTAAGAGCAGATGGGGGAGGGGACAGAAATGCTGTAGTGAACTCACAGCCAAGGGCAGGGGAAAGAAGATGCCTACCACGCAGGAACCTGTGCCCCTCCCTGCTACCTCAAAGCAGGCTATTGGGGAAGGGAGCCAAGGCTGAAAGGGTCAGGGTCCCCATGTGGGATGGGGTGCAGTGGAGCCAGGCCTGTCCCAGGAAAGCTGTATCTTCCCACTGCACCTCTGGCCTGGCTGCACATGGTAGGTCAGTGCCCCTGGGTCTGTGAGCACTTTACAGACTAGGTGGCAGCTCCTGAGGCTCCTGATAACCCCTATGCAGGGAAAAATGTGGCAGGATAAGGGGCTTGAATGACGCTGGGCCTCCTCCCCACGAAACCCGGCCTGCGGAGCACCCAATCCAACGGGCAGGCAGGTGGCCTCCTCAGAGAGCCCTGACACATACAGTCTGCTCAGTAAGTGATCTGCACAGACAGAAGCTTTGTCATGTCTACACCCAACAGCACGTTTTGACCATGGTAAGCCGTCCTCCCAGCACTCTGCACGTTCAGTGAGAGAGTGGACGGTGAAGCCCACACCAGCGAAGCACACAGGCTGCCAGGGGCTCAGGAAGCTCCTTGCCAACCCAGGAGACCACCCCCTGCTGCGGCATCCCCCTCAGCCCACGGTCCCCTGCACACCCCAGACAAGGAGCTCACTACCCACCACCAAGGTGTTCATTCCTCTAAGGCCTCTGAGCTTGAGAACCTACCTCCACCCAGAGCTGAATGGGACCCACAGACTCTCATCAGGGAAGCAGGCCCTGCAACGGCTGAAGCTCTGCTGCCCCACTGGACTCCACTCACAAAACACGAGTGAAATGTATTCCAAGTGTCAAGACCACAGCCAAGTGCTAAACCAAGCCTGGGCCCTTCTAAGGCCCTGTGTGAAGCTGGCTCTGTGGACAGGTAGGGGAGACTGACTTCCAGGTGACCAAGCAGCTCATTGTGACCCCCAGTAACCTCCAGGGTGGGAGCAAGAAGCACCTCTCAGCCAATAACAGGTTCCAACCTAACATGCTCAGGGATTTGCATGGCTGGGAGGGGGGAAGGGAAGTGCTTTCAAGAAACTTCTGTCTGAAGGTTGCTTTTCCATTCAAAAAAGTAGCTATTAGCACCTACTATGTGCCTGTGACCTTGAAGCTTATTAGGCAAGTGCTAATATTAACCAGGAAAACCTAAGGGTTCAGTCTCTGGAGGATGCACCTCCACTGTCCTAGCCGGTGGAAGGCAGGAGAAAAACATTAAGCAATACAAGTCAGCAAACACTGGCCAGATGCCCGTGGGGCCCAAAGTCCACTGTCACACACAGAGGACTTCAGAAGAATGAAGTGACCCCGGTTCTTCCCTCCATGTGCTGAATTTGACCATGCAATCAGCCCCATACCTGGAGTCGGGGCCAGTGAATTGCTGCTGTGGTTTCAAAATGGAGGAACAGAGTCCTCCTTGGGCCCTACAGGAGGGAAGGCTGGGGCCTAAGGCTTCTGAATGGAGACAGCAGGGATGTAGAATGTGCTCTGCACAGGATGGGTGGCAAGAGGGAAGTGGAGAAGCCTGACGGCCCCTAGCTGCTCCAGTCTGCCGACGTGCCAGGCACATGCATCAGTGCAAGGGGCCGGGAAGTAATCGCAGAGTTAACTCGAGAGAGGCACTCTGCAAACAACCTCAGGCTATACAGGTGGATCCAGCCTAGTATACCAGGCCCAAGTGCCCAGGAAAAGGGCAGGAATTAGGCAGGGTGGCCAAGCACAAAAGAGTCCACATAACAGAATCAGACCCTGCTCTACCACTCACAGGCCGTGTGACCTTGGGCAAGTTACTCAAGCTCTCTGGGCCTCAGCTTCCTTGTCTATATAATGGGCATTAACACCATGAGCCTTTGTGGGGTAGGAGAGTCGGGTATAGGTGCCTTGGGCACACCGAGGGCACCTAACAATGTTTTCTGAGTCATAAGCGGTATGTTTTTAGACAAACACCCACTCACCAAGACAGGAATATGGCCCTTCTGAGACAGCAAGTCTCTCGAAGGTTACCAGGGTTAAGTTCATGTTACAAAGGAGACTGGCCCACAAAGACAACAGACTCAAGGCACTAACTCATGTGTGTGTGTACGCATGCAGGTATGCACGCACACCCACAGGACTGCCTATCTTAAGCTTTGCCTTTCTGGTCCCTAAACAGGCAGTGACCCCCATGCACACTCTCCTGCAGATGAGCTCCCAGCCCTGATGCACAAGCTCCCTCCCCGGCTTCCCTCTACACTGGGACCAAGCACAGAGCCCACATCTGAAAAGCACGATGCTCTGTACCCTCCTCCCCACAATTCTGTCTCCTTAAGAGTGATCCAGCCTTCAAATCCTAAATTCAAACCTGCCAGGCAAACCCCACATTTCTCAAGGCTCAGCTCAAATGCAAGGTCTCGAAGGAACCAGTAATCTGTCTACACTCCACCTCAGCCCTCCCTGGGGCTGGCCCCCCAGCTCTGTGGTCCCTGCACACTTCACATCCAATTTTATTTCAAACAGCATCTACCGATGTGTGTGGCCACCTACTGCACGTGGATCTCCCCTAAGTCTGAGATTCCTTCCTTCCTCACCCGGCACCCCAGGACCTGGCACAAAGCCTGGTACGCATAAGTGTGCAGGCGCCTGGCCTCCGAACACCCACCGTACCTGGCATGCTCCTCTCACCCAATCCTTCTAGCCCCTGGCTCAGCACCAACATCTCAACTTCACAGACCACCACACAGTTCAGAGTCACTGGGCAGCTTATCGATGAAGGAATACACAGAGGAAGAAAGAACCTCACAGATAGTCTAGAACAGTGATCTGGGCTTCCAAGGGGCATCCAGCATAGTCTGGAGACGTTTTTGGTTGTTGCAACTTGGGGAGTCCTGCAGGCATCAAATGGGTAGAGGCTGGGGGCGTGGCTGAACACTCTACAACGCACTAAACCACCTTTTGCCACAAAGAATTATCTGGCCCCAAATCTTAAACTACCTAGGCTGAGAAACCCCAATCTTTAAAAATTTTAAAAGGGGTTGGGTTGGAAGGAACTAGGCAATTTCAGGGAAGATTTCAAAGACAAGGCAAGAGTTGGTTTAGACTTGAAATTCTAGAAGACCCTTTGTCTGAAAGACACTTGTTTGCCTGACTTTTTACCTTCTTCAACAAGAATCTTAAGCACCACATTTTCTCTCTGTTCCTTTACCAAGAGGTCAGGCTACAGCCAAGACAATCTGACAGAAGAGTCTCTGGGAAGAATCCCAGCCCAGAACAAGCCAAAGTGACTCTGGTCAAGTGAACAGGAGAAGGAGGATGGGGCCTGGCCCCGGAGCCTTGGCCATGTCCCCGCCTCCCCCTGCTACTCCCAGCCTCAAAGCTGAGCAAGAATCCCTCTCACTGTTCACAGCATGGTGACCCTAAGAGCCATTCCTGGGGTCTCTGCACTGCCCAGAGACACGAAGATGTCTGCTCCCCAAGGACGGGCTCAGGCACCGAGCTCTCCACGTAGGCCGCACTGCCGAGGCCAGTGCACACAAGGCTGCTGCCAGATCCGGGGTTCCACCCGAGGGGGTCATGACTCCAACATTTCCCCAGCACCAGCTTCACTGCCATGGTGCCCCAGGAAACAGCAGGGTAGGACAAAGAGCAAAGAGTCACAGGGCAGGGTGGCCAGGAGCAAGCCTCACCTTCTGAGTCCAGTGCCTGGATCTTCAGCTCCAGGGGTGAGTCCTCCAGGTAGAGCTCTCGGGTAGTAGAGACAATCTGAATACCATGGATGAGGTCGACAATGGCGTCACAGCGCAGGACCTGGCCGGTGGCTAGAGGAATGGTATGGAGGGGTCAGCACCATCAGCAGCATCCCCAACCCACCGCCACCCCATGCCCCAGGGCCTCCCTCCCTGGGCCTTCTTACACTTCGGCAAAGATGAGGGCAACCAACAAAAACACCACCACAAAGCAGGGTTGGAAGAACCAAATTAACCCTCGAAAGCCAAGCAGCCAAACAGCACAGGGCTCTTCTGAGAGTCAGTGTGTGCTTCCAGAGGGCCCAGGCCCTAGGGACACTTTCATTGCCCATCTGATGTTTTCCCAGCATGAGCAGCAGCATCTGAAGAGTGCAAAAAACTCCTCCAGAAAAATCTAGTTTTCTTGAGCATAATCATTCAGTTAAGTATGACAAATGGGCATCCAAAAAGAATGCCCTGGAGGATAGGGCCTCCCAGGTGGCGCAGCGGTTGAGCACTGGGTTGCAAAGCTGCCCGCAGCCTCCGCGGCGCCGGTTCGATCCCCGGCTGCTCTCCAGCCACCAGAGGAGGGTCCCACATGGCGCGCAGACCTCTCCTGCCACCCGCTGCTCCCCTCAGCAGTGTATTTCATCAGTCTGTCTGTTCTGCTCCCTGCTCTGTCTCTGGTGAATTCTCTCACCCTCCTGCACTTCTGACTGTACCCAGTACTTGTATAAATAAATCTTAAAGAAAAAAAAAAAAATTGAGGACCGGCAGATCGTTCCCCTGCTTGGTTCTCAGTTTAAAAAAAAAAAAAAAAAGAATGCCCTGGAGGCCTGTCCCCACACTCCCCACAGGAATCACACACCTGGTGCTTTTGCACAAGACCACCAGCTACGCCCCCCAGGAACAGCTGCGTGTGAGCACAGGTTTGCTTGCTCTGTAACTAGGATATGTAACTGGTACTGCCAAGAGAATGCTCTTGTATAAGGAAGACAAATGTACCACAGGAGCATTCTGATCATTCTCCAGGCTCCACAGAAAACTCCGTGTCTCTCGGTGGGATTTCGTCAGAAAGTAATACAGGCCATTTACCAAAAGTCTTAAAACTATCCAGATGCCACGGCCCAGAGAAACTGGGGACTTGTCCTTGACTGGAAATACCCTAAAGGTTACAAAATTCTCTGTATAGAAATATTTATTTTTCTATTAACACTGCAACGAACATCTGAAGACAATCTCAACATCCAATGTAAGCGGACGGTGACGGGACTACCTCCTGTAAGAATACTCTTCAGCCACTAGAAATTATTCCGTAATAAAATACAAAATTTTCCCCATCATGTTAGGTGAGGGAAAAGCATGATGGGAAAATTCTATTTGTTTTCTAAGCATTTTGCCACCACGATACGGTAAATCAGACCCGGAGAAGTCAAAGGATCAGAACAACTTTCTTCATCTTGGCTCAATGCCCGCTAAAAGTTGTTTGGATGATAAGTAACACCTGGAAATAAAAAGTCAGCCTCCACAGGAGGGGAAACAATACAAGTATCTGCAGGGGAGCCGGGGGGTGTTGCTTGCTGGGTGCCCCTCCTGCCTGGGCCCAACCAGCAAGAAGAAAAGTATTGCCTGGTTCCAGCAGCCTCAGCGGCCAGAGGCCCCACAGGGTGTCTCCCACCTCTCCCTGCTGACAGTGTCCCACAGGAAGTCCCGGGCACTTACTGACATCCTCGGCAAAGATGATGCTGGTCAGTCGGGCAGGCTGGGACAGGCGGGCCTGCACCACAGCCTTCTGGGAGCACTGCTGCTCGTCTGGGCCCAGCGGCTCAATGCTGGCCACTTCCGGCCGGGTGGAGGACCTGCAGCATGAAGGCAAGAATTTACTCTCTGGAGCCTCCCCAAAAGGCACAGTGGGACCAGAAGCCAAAGCCACTGCACCCCACGTGGGGCTGGGTCCCAGACTCAGAACAGAGTCAGGCCATCTCTGCCAGCTCCAAACCCCAAGGAGAAACGGGGCACAGTCAAGGTCCAGGGCCATGCGGCCCAACACACACTTTCCTGCTGAGCAGATCAAATGGGAGACTTGGAAACCTCCTCAGCGTTCAAAGGACAGCGCCGTACAGGCCTTCCAAGAAGGTGCCGGCTAAACTGCGTACATACATCCTGGGAGTAATGACAAGACGCTTGGATGTTGGGTGAACATTCGAATCAGTGTCACACTTTGCAGAGACTTGGTGCTGCCTTGTGAGCTTGCAGTGTGGGATCCAGGGCCAGGGGAGGGGGACTCACCTGGCAGCCCCCCAAAGATCATCCCTAGATGCTGCACTCAGCACAGGACCCCCACCAAGGAGAACCTCTGCTTAAGGCCACAGATAGAACATTCTGGGGGATTCAGAAGCAAAGGCGTGGAACACACTGAAATGTCGTCAAATCTTCTGGCCTGACGCCGAGTCTCCCGTCAGCCAGGTGGGCAGCGCGCCTCCCAAGCACACCCTGGGATCAGACAACATCACAGGCGCAGCCGAGCGACTGGCAGAAGGCCTGGAGACAGAGCAGCACCTCCACCGAGAATAAACCTCACCCACACTCAAGGAAAGAAGTCAAATCCCCTGAGCAAATGCATCTGTGAACCCTCCCCGGGAGACTTCTGGAAAAGAGCTTCTGAGGCGCTAAGGGGAGATAATGATGAGAACACAGACCCAGACAAGCAGAGAAGGTACCTGTGGCAACACGCTCACGCGAGCTTGAAACAGGCTCCGTTTAACTGGTGGCGTCTTCAAGGAGTGTAAGGATATTAAACCTGCACACGCACACTCAGGCGCATTCACATTCAGGCACTCGCACACAGAACTGACTGCAGAAACTAGGACAAAGGAGAAAGCTCATAGACGAGAAGAGCTTGAGGAGAGGGGGCAAACATGCAGTGGAGGTTCCTGAATTGCATCTAAAAACAGAAAAAAGGACCTTCATGGGGAAATAAATGTACAATCCAGTCTGGAGCATGAAGGTAGCTGCGTGCCAGTGCTAACGTCTTCCTTTTGACAAATGTTCCTGTGCACACATCCCCACCACCAGCTGCAGGTGCTGGGCCTCCAGTTACCTTTAAAGAGGCAAGTCCCTCCTCTTCACTCTGGGCTGACACAGGAGCGATAGATAATATGTGGCCTGGAGATGAGACCGAGCAGGGTCCTGACCTCCAGCTGCCAGGGGAGGAAGCACCTCCCGCACTGCAGCCGAGGGGCCGGGCTGTACCTTCTCAACTCTGCTAAGCTCAGGGCAGCGGGAGGCTACACCCAGGTAGCAGGGAGGCTGGGCACGTGGAGGAGATAAATGGCAAAGGCTGAGCACCTCAGCAGGTGTGACAGACAGCCAAGGACTGCACAGCCGTGCCATACGACCCACCCGGCCCCACCACACCTAGGGATTTTCTGGGCTGCACCTGAAGCTGGAAGGCCTCACGCCAACCACCTACAGTTGGCTGTCGGTTAGGGTGGTGTTTCTGTTACTGGCACAGGGTTCTTTTCAGTGACCTGACTCCCTCTGGGGCATTCTGAGGCCAGGGTGACTTGGTTGTACCTTTAAGAGGCACAGAGGAACTACAGGCTCAATGGTGTGTGCTTGGGCCTCAGTATCCCCACAGTCTGGGGAGCAGGAAGCACATTCAGAAGTGTCAAAGAATTAGAAAGAAAGCCTGCACTGGACTCAAGCTCACTATGGAGACTAGCAGTAGGGGGAAGAGCTGGAAGGGGACAGCAGAGGGGGCCTCAGCTTTACCTGCAATGTTTTCTTTGTAAAAAAAACTATTTAAATGTTAAGCCCAGCCAAAAACATCCTCACAGAAGCACCAAGAATAACGTCTGACCAAACAGTCGGCACCGCAAGGCCCAGTTGACTTGACACAAATTCAAGCATCCTGCTCCCTCAGCACATTTTTATTCTTTAATCAGAAAATGGCCCCAGTATCTCAGCGCTCGCTGGCTGCTCCTGCCTGTCACCTCCCCGCTTATCTCTTCCAACACCCACCTCTCCCTCTGCCTGGCCCTGTGATTAACTGCCTTCCTCGGAGGGAAGGGGATTCTCCACCCCAGCACCCCTCCCTGGGCCAGCTCTTCCCTCCCCGCCCAGGAAGGTGCCAGCCTGAGTCCCCAGGGGTATCTGCAGGGCCTTTCTGAGGTCCACCCAGAGCTGGAGTGGCAGAGAGCACTTGTGCGTGGCCAGGGGGAGACTAGGCTATCAGGAAACGTCTGTATTTGGGTTCGGAACACCTGAGCCCTGGCCTGGAACCAGTCCCCCCTTCTTTCTGGGAGTCCGTTTACCATCCCTCTGTAAAACGAGGGTGCGGTGTCAGTCCTCCGAGTTACATCAACTATTAGGAGGGAACTGTTTTATTTAGAAGGCAGAACAACAGAAAAGAGCAGAGAATACAATAAAAGAATAAATACCCATATTCCTACCATCTGAATTAGCCACTATGAACTCACACATTTGTTTCCAGTGTGTTGTTATTTCATTTTGAATGACGCCTGACCCAGCCCCCTTACAGCACTCGCCCTGACCCAGGTGTGCCCGGAGCCCGAGCAAAGATTCATGCCCAAGGCCGGCCACGCTGCTGACCAGAGACAAACCACCGACTTCAACAAGTCTATCCATCACAGGAGGCCTCTCCCTCTCTCCTCCCTCCCTCCCAGCGTTCCCACCTCCATCCCCTTCTCCTGCTGTCACCTGCCCTTCTCACTGGCTCTTGTGCTGCCCAACCTTTGGGCAGAAGGACCCATCCCTCATCTTCTTCTCAGTCCCACTAGCCCACTCCTTCTCGGGGCCCCAATGCAGGCCCGAGCATTCACCGAGCCCATATTCACTGGGTTATGTGCAACGCTCCAGGTAACGTTCCAGACACTAAGGAGAAGCCCCCGCCCCCATGTCACGGGACTGCCATGGGAGAGAAGAGAACAAAATAAACAAAGTGAGGAAACATGAGGACTTAGACATGGGCGCACAGATGCGCACGACGCAGGAAAGGGGAAGGCTGGGATCTTCAGCAGGATGGCGAAGCAGCAGGGAGGCGCTCTGCTTCAGGCAGAGACTTGAAGGACGAGCAGCAGGGTGGGCTCTGCATATCTGGGAGAAGAGGGTTCAGGGGGAAAAGGCCAGCAAGTATAGCGTTCCCAAGGCAAGGGCCTAGCGAGAAGACTCTCCCCTGTGCCGCGTCCTCGGAGACAGAGCTGAGGCCGGAGCCGATGGCCTTGCTCACTTCTTGCCTGCTCAGCACCTAGCTTGAGACGCTGGCGCAGGTTTGTACAGACGCTCTTCATTGGGTTACGGATTCTCTTCTAAGGTCCCTGCAAATTTTCATCATGAACGGGTGCTGATGCTCTAAGGAGATGATCTGGCTTTCCTTCTTCACGCGCTGAAATGGAGGCGTGCCTGCACTGACTGCTGTGCTGAGGTGACGTCGACCTTGCCCTGCTGGGACCTGGGCCTCGCCTCGCTGGTCAGAGTATGCTGTCCTCTCTTTACTCTTCAGGATTGGAGTTGCTAGTATTCCATCAAGGAACTTGTGGTGTTGGCCTGCAGATGTCTTCTTGTAAGTGTTTACATTTGGTTCACAATTCTTATAATGTGGGCCTCAAAAAAATAAGCTAGGAAATTGAGCTCCTCTTCTCTTTCCTGAGTTCATGGACTTATTAGTCCATCAATGGTTCACAAATTTCTCAGCTAAGATCATCTGGACACATGAGTTTGCTTTATGAGGAGGCTTGCAAATATAAACTTAATCTGGCCAAATCTGCAATGCAATGGAAGGTGCCATACCCTTCCAGGCATTTGTACAACTATCCCTGAAGTCCTGCATGGGGCATGGGGAGGAGTTCCCAGCACCCCCCTGAAAGCTGGGGGATGGAGGCTCAGCAGCTGTCACACAGCCACGTGGCCTCCTGTCCACATGATGTCCACATCCCACAGGCCCTCTTCCCAGGTCTCAGAGCTTCCCTCAAGGACCCCAGGCAAGTCATGGTGCTTAGACATCCTCCCCGCGCACCCAGAACACCCCAGTCTATAGGCAAGCAAGGTGAACACACAGTGTGGGTGTGCTTCCTATGGGCACCCCTGCTGAGTTTCGGCTGCCGGGCCAGCATCTACCTGGGAATAACAGGGCCTAGGGTTCTGTGGGTACTGCCTTGCTCCTCTCAGTCCATGAGGCCCCCAAGTGCCCACGTGGCTCTGGACACAGGGCCCAGGACTTTGTATCCCCCGCTGATCTCCAAGGGCTGTAGGGCTGGAGCCACCTTGCTACCCCAGGGGATTATTGAGAACAGGACACAAGGCCGAATGACCCACGTCCTGCTGACACTGTGTCATACAAGAGTCTGTAGCACAGGAGCTGGGAGCCAGCCCCGCCCCGCCCGCAGCGTCATCAGCCCAAACACTCCTTTGTCTTACTTAAACTATTTTGGTTTGAGTTTCCTGTCATATATAATCAGAAGAGCTTAGAGGCTTAGAGCATGAACCCTCCTCCCCCAGCTGAATTCTTTAAGGCGTGCTGCCTGATTTCACTCAGATAACTTGTAACACACACACACACTTAAAGCAACGACAAACAGCAACTTTTCATTCATTATGCACCTGTATGACAGGCATAAAGCAAAACACATCACCAATATTGCGTTACCTCAAAAAAATCCTATTAAAATCCTCATTTGATACACAGGGACACCTCTACGTGATGTTGATGGTCACGTTGCTAGACAAACTCCTGTCCGGCCTGGCTCTGGACACCTGCTGCAGATGCTTCCCACTCCCTGGTGCTGAACGCACAGACTGCTCAAAATAAGGTCCAGACTCCCAGGCCCCAGCAGATGAT